TGTTCTAGACTTGATGGCCTCAAACTTAGGGCGATCTGCCTCCCTCTGCCTCCGGAGTGCTGGGATCAAAAGTGTAATAAAAGAACAACTGAAAGAACCTTAAGATTTTTTTTGGTCACAATTACCAGAAACTCTGCTCAATAAAGTAGGATAAATGAAACTGCAGTTATGAGATGTTCCGAACCCGTCAAAGCAAAACTCCCGGAGCCAGTTGTTTGTCACCTCTCTCTGTCCCCTCCACCTATCCTGTTGGGCCTTCTTGCCCTATGATCACAGAGCCCCTCCATGTGGCCCTGAGCTCCTGAGTCCTTCACTTCTGTCTTCACAGGGTCCCTCACTTCCCAGACCACTAATCTGTGAAACCCCAAATGTATATGTGCGGCTTTCCCCTGGGGTCAGCAGGTTGTGCAGCTTTCACCCCCAAATCCTCTTCCTGCTAAGCTTTTCCATTTCAGCAAATGTACCCCGCCTGTCTTCATTAAAGGAGAATGCAAAAGAGGATAAACACCCCTTGGTGTGCAGACTCACTTGGAGACCTAACCTTAATCTGCCATAAATCGGGCTTTACCTGACTTCCTCAGAAATGTTTTTAAAGATTTATTTTTTGTCGCTTTAAACTAAGTACGTGTGAGTGTGTGTGTGTGTGTGTGTGTGTGTGTGTGTGTGTGTAGCGGGGCATGTGGCTTTCAGTTTGGAGTGTACGCATAGGTGCACCCAGATTCCTCTATTTATAGAAACGTGTATCCCCCCTTCTCTGTACATCTGGAAAGATGGCACCAGTTTCTGAGTTCCTAATAGCATAGTAAATGGTTCCTCAGACTTCTGGAGAGTTCTAGACTGGAATAAACAGGACTCTTAAATCAGTGTCTGTTTCATATAAAGTTGTACAAACTGGGCCAGAGAGATGGCTCAGTGGGCAGGGGAGCTTGCTGCTAAGCCTGATTGCACATGGTGAAGGGAGAGGCGTCATCTGAACCCTCCACTCTCATGCACACAGCCTAGGTGTGCAGACCTTTGCATGTCTAGGGGATGAGTTCCTGTGGACGAATGGAGAGAGGATGTGGACTTTGAGAGTTAGACCAAGTTTGAAGGTGCTTCCAGCTCAGACCATAGGAACTGTGATGACAGACGCCTGAATAAATGAATGGCGTAACCTGCTTGAGCGGCAGGAATTGTGGGCAACCATGATTGTGTCTTCAGGAGAGTGTGGTCATCAAATGGAATCAGCAAGTGGAACTGAAAAACAGTGTGTGAGACAGAAAAGTCACTCAGCAGTAGCCAACCTTCCCTCCTTGCTCCTTGTCTCCCTCTTTACTACGCTCTAGGACAGTGATTCTCAACCTGTGGGTCACATTGGGATTGTATATCAGATAGCCTGTCTATCAGGTATTTACATTACAATTCATAACAGTAGCACAATTAGAGTTTTGAAGTTGCAACAAAAATAATTTTGTGGTTGGGGGTCACCACAACATGAGGAACTGAACTAAAGGTTCATAGCACTAGGAAGGTTGAGAACCACTGCTTCCAACTGAAATTCATGATGAGTTGACATTCCTTTGGAATATCACACTAATTAATTCTTTTCTTCTACTTGTGGTAAAATGTACATACTGTATAACAAACAATTTAACCACATTTGTGTCAACTATCTAATAACCTTTAAAAAACTTTTTTTTTCTTTTTTAAGACAGTGTCTCATGTATCCCCAGACTCCCCAGACTAACCTCAAGTACTGAGGGTGACTCTGAACTTGTGGTCCTCCTGCCTCTGCTTTCTGAGTGCTGGAGTTACAGTTGTGCATCATCACGTCTCATTTATGTGGGCGTCACAAGCAGAGCCACACCCCCACCCCTGTTCAGTAGTCTTTAGTCCATTCACCCAGTAATGCCATTGGTCTCCAGAACTCTTTTCATCTCATGTCTCTGTACTCATTAAACCACTTCCTACCCCCTTCCCTCAGCCTTTGGCAGCCATAAGTCAACTTTCTATTTCTATGACTGACTATTCTGCCTCACACAGGGGCACCCATGCATTCCAACTTACTTCACCAGCATAATCTGCTCAAGGTTCATCTGCATTGCAGTGTGTGTCATGCCAGGATTTCCTTCCTATGAGAGGGACTGAATGCTAACACACACACACACACACACACACACACACACACACACAC